CAGCAGAAATGTATAAAAATATCTTGAACAAACCCCTGCAATTAAAACCAAATATTACCAACTCTGCTAGACATCTTCTGGAAGGCCTGTTGCAAAAGGATAGGACAAAGAGACTTGGTGCTCAGGAGGATTTTGTAAGTACAATTTTGTAGTTGCTATGTATGGTCTGAGAAATAATTAGTATTTACTCTTATTCAATTACTCTTGACTGAATTAATCTAATTTTTCTTTCCTTAACAGATGGAGATTAAGAATCACATCTTCTTCTCTCCAATTAACTGGGATGATCTCATCAGTAAGAAGATTACACCCCCTTTTAACCCAAATGTGGTGAGTATTATATCTAATTATAGAATGAAGACAAGGCTTTTTGCCCCTTACATCAGGGATGCGCAAGGTGCAGCTAAAAGGCCACATGCAGTTAGCTGGCAGTCCTCTTAATACGTAACTATTTTACTCTTTCCTCCAGCTAAAGGGAATAAGGATAAAGGTGATCACTGACAGATTGTGAAATAGTTGGATAGTAAAATGTAGCACTTATGGTTCTGCATAAACATTGGTTATTCTTAAACACATCAGTGAATTATGTTATTTTTGATTTTACAAATGGGGAAACTAAGGGTAGGAATTAAATAACTTGCCCCCAAACAGAATTTTTGGGTAAACTTATACAGGCATACTTTGATTATTTGCATAAAGTTTTGATTAAATGGGGTCTACTTACTGCAAGTTGCCACGGCACCCCTGCGTAAACTGCAATATAGGAGAATGGAGTGCTTATTCTTCTTTGCTTTTATTGCATGGAGCTAGTTGTAGGGCAATACATTAAAAACGAATCCGCTTATTTTGCTGCTTATGGCTTGACAAAAAAATGCAAAAAGAAAAAAAAGTCAAAGACAGTGAGCCCAAAGTAATAGCGTTGTGAGTCCCTGACAAGAATTTTCATACTTTGAATTAATCTGTGAAATCATAAAAAATGTAGATTGAGTCCTAAACACTTGTGTTCTTTTTTTCATTTTCCACAGAGTGGTCCCAGTGATCTGCGACACTTTGACCCCGAGTTTACAGAGGAGCCAGTCCCCAACTCCATTGGCCAATCTCCAGACAGTATCCTCATTACAGCTAGCGTCAAGGAAGCTGCTGAAGCCTTTCTGGGCTTTTCATATGCCCCACCCATGGATTCTTTCCTGTGAACTTTCTCCTTTCTTCTTCTTTTGATTATTATGTTGGCCTTCTGGCTGAGCTGCCAGTTGACCAGTCATCTTGAAACAGAATTTGCACATCTCCTCCATGGCAGCTTTGCAGCCTTAATTTCAACTACACTGTTTGCTGGAAGCTTTTTTTTTAAACAGCACATAACTCCTCTAAATGAGCTTACAAGCGTTGCATTTTGATTTGTTCTTCCCCCAAAGTGGTGCTATATCCTTGGGAAAGAACATAAGAAGTGACTGTTGCCATCGTCTGCTATGGCAGATTGCAGGAATAATAATATGCTGTTTGGAAATAACATTCTGAAAGCCTTGCCTGAAGATCTGGACATGATGAGGATTTTATGAAATGTGCCTTTTTTCTGATGAAATCGAGTTAAGCTCCAAACTTTTCCTGTTGCAGAGTGTTTCTCAGTTATTTTATGTGGGTTTACTACGTGAACAAATGGTATGAGTGTGATATGCATAATACAGAGGGACTTAGTTTAAAGCATCAATGTGACACTTGCAGGACACTACAATGTGGGGCATTGTTTGTTTCTTTCATATTTGGAAGATAAATAAATTAAGTGTAGAATTTGATTTTTTTATAAATATACAGTTAGCTAACGTTATTGAAATGGGCTCACAATTAATTATATCCAAATGCTTGAAGAAAGCATTGCTGCTATGAAAAGTTTCTATTTTTAGAAAGGTTTTTATGGACCAAAATGCCCCAGCTGCAGTTGGTCAGAGCTGTTGGTTTTGTTTTTTTTAAGTTTAAAAGATTTCATCTGTAAAGTGGGCATTATTAAAGGGGGGTGTTGCATTGTATGTATTGTAAAAAAGTCTGTACATTCAGTTGTAACTCTAGATGTATATTTAAACTTACAGCCTGGCTTGTAATGTACACCATCGTTGTAATGTAATTAACATGGTTATGTACTTGTTTTTTGGTGACCAAACCCATTGGTTTGCAGTAAAATATTGAAAAAACTGTGTACACTATAAGGTTTTTTTCTTTTTAAAAAAACACCTTTTCCTTAACAAAATTCAGTTGAGTTTGTGCTTTTTCAAGGGTTTAAAAAGCAAATCCAGATGCTTATGCTTAGAGTAGGGCTTAGTCAAGAATAAACTTGCTGACATAATTATTTTGGGTAGGGATATAATTTCTGATAAGAGACTCGGTGTAGATATAGTTACGCCACTGTATAAAGGTGCTTTATCCATATAGTTATTCTTCCCTTATGGGACTAGCTATGCTGTTATGAACACTTCTACACTAGTACAACTGTCAGCTCTTGAGTTATACTCCTAACGTGATGCAACCTAATTACATAACTAGTGGGAGATGATACCTTACATCAGTGGTCACCAAATAGTGGTCACCAAGTGGTCTCTAAATAGTCAATCGATGTGGCCAGCTGGCTGGGCAGCTGCCCTTGTTCTTAAGTTCCTGGATGGGGATGGGGTGGGGAGAAGCACGCATGCGCCCAACCCTGGCTCTTGCCTGCTGCTCCAGGAGGGGGTGGGGCTGGGCTTGCACCAAAGAGCCAGGGCTTGGCAGCTGGCGCACTGTGATGCTCCCCATGAGCTGTATGCAGGGGTGGGGAGTCCCCCAGTGCCCTGGAGCCACAGCCTGCAGGAATAGGGCTGGGCCAGGCACGGAAGAGACTGCTGCTCTACCCCCCCTCCCCCTCCAGCCTCGCCTTGCCCCAGCGGTTCTTCTGGGGCTACGAGTCCCAGTGTTCCTGCCCTGCCAGAGAGCACGGTGGGGGCACAGAGATGTGGGGGCAGGAGGGTGAGGTGAAGGAGGATGTGGGGGCAGGATGGGAGGGGGTAGGGTTGTACTGAGGGGCATTGGGTGATGCAGGGGCTCAGGCTGGAGCAGAACATGGGGCTGAGAGGATCCTGGCTGGAGCAGAGGGAAGATGTGAAGGGGGATACAATTTTACTTTGTAGAAGCTACACTTTCCTTTACTCCCTACTTTTTTGCCTCCCTCCCCAACTAGCTGTTTGGCTGTATTCTCACCCTCTGACCTTTTCTGCATTACCCCCCCCCCAACCTCCTTCCATCCTCAAACTCCCTCTCGTACCCCCAACCCACACGATCTCCTGCTGCCAAACTCCCTTCCAGACCCTGCCCTCCTCACCCTGTCCTAAATCCCTCCTCCTGATCAGATCCTGTATCTCTACCCCACTTGCCGGCACCTCTGTCCCACACACTGAGCCCTTCATTTTTGTTCCCACCCCAGAGCCCAAGGGGATCCACAAAATCTGGAACCCCAGAAAAGTAAAACTGGCCTATGGGAAGCCCTGAATCTCAGTCCTCCCTGTCAATTCCCCTCATCCCATGGGGGCCGGTGTGCCAGAAAAGGGAGGTAATGTTTCATTTGGGGGGCCACATCAGTGAGGGTTGAGGGTTTTGGGAGGAGGTTTTTTGGGGTTGGTTTTTTTTTTTTTTTTTTTTTGCTTTTCACCTGTGTGGTCCCCAACTGATTTGAAACCTGTGTTGGACATAGGGGAAGGGACAGGGTAGATCCTGGTATGCCCTGGCATTTAAAAAGTATCTTGGATGTAAAAGGGTTGAAGACCACTGTCTTACACTGAGAGGGTTTGTTCTAGCCTCAAACCTTTCTAATGTATTTTTATCAACACTTTATGGGCTCATTTTTACTACAAAGTCAGTACCAGCATTGCTACAGCTAAGCTATACTTGAGCCAAAATACTAGAGTAAATGCAAAGTACTTCACTTAGGAAGGAACAACCAATTTCACACATACAAAAGGGGAAATAAACATCTAGGAAGGAGTATAGCAGAAAGGGATCTGGGGCTCATAATGGATCACAAGTTAAATATGAGTTAACAGTGTGACACTGTTCCAAAAAAAGCAAATATTCTGGGATGAATTAGGAGTGTTGTAAGCAAAACAAAAAGTCTTTCTTCTGCCCTACTCACTGCTCATTAGCCTCAACTGAAGTATTATGTCCCATTCTGGGCACCATATTTTAGGAAAAGATGTGGACAAATTGGAAAAAGGCAACAAAAATTATTAAAGGTCTAGAAAACATGAACTATGAGAGAAGATTAAAAGAATTAGATTTGTTTAGTTTGGAAAAGAGATGACTGAGAAGGGACATAACGAGCTTTCAAATACCAGTTGGACCTCCCTGATCTGGCACCTTCGTGACCTGAGTGGTCCTGAAGGAGGGAGCTTGCTGGACCAGAGGTGGTTAGGAATGGGTCAATTCCACAGATTCCCTCCTGGCCACCAGCCTGGCCAATGTGCTGCCCCCCATGGTGGCGAGGCTTCACTCTCAGCTGCCACATCACTCTGGCCTGTGGCGCTCCCCACCCATGGCAGACGGTGGCTCCATGTCCCCGGCCAGCAGTGGCTTCCCTGCCTCCAGCTGCCAGAGGCTCTGCGTTCCCGATTGGCAGTGGATCCACGCTCCCAGCCAGCACTGTGCCCCCACCGGTAGAGCTCCACTCTCAGCTGGAAGGGCTCCTGCCTGCTCCTACGCTGGCTGCTGGCTGGGCTTCCTGGCCCCCAGGCCACTGGCCCTCTAGCTTGCCTCCTGGTTGAGCTCCCAGTTTCTGGCAACCTCTGTGGCTGGGGCTCTTTGGTCAAGACCATGGATGCAGCTGGACCACAGAGGGTGAACTTAAAGGTTTGCTACAAGAGGGAGAAAAATTATTGTCCTTAATCTCTGCAGATAGGACAAAAAGCAGTGGGCTTAAATTGCAGCAAGGGAGGTTTAGGATGCACATTAGGAAAAGCTTCCTAAGCATTAGGGTAGTTAAGCACTGGAATAAATTGCCTAGGGAGGTTGTGGAATCACCATCATTTGAGATATTTAGGAGCAGGTTAGACAAATAATTGTCAGGGATGTTCCAGCTAGTGCTTGGTCCTGCCATGAGTGCAGGGGACTTGCTAGTGGCTCCTAATTAGCCCCCCCCACAGCCCTGCCCTTTCAGCCCAAGACCCTGCACACTCATGCCCACTGCAGCACAGCCTGCACTGTGGCAGCTGCCCCACACCCCCAACCCATTCTGGCTGCTGGTTCTTGCCCCAGGCTAACATCTGCCCCAGGTTAACATCCACCACCTAGCAGAGGGCAGAGTGGCCACACCCCAGAGCAACAGACAGTGCAGCCCAGGCTCCATGCCCTGAGCGCCATGAGGCGGATGGGCAGCACATAGCCCCAGCCTACCCAGCTCTGGAGCAGCATGAGCGACACACAGACCCAGCCTCCCTGACCCCAGAGCATGGAGAGGGCAGCTGGCACGTGGCCTCCAGCCTTCCCCGCCTCAGTGCACAGAGCGGGAGCACTGCTCCAGTGTCCCAGCGGCAGTCGTGCTAAAGCAGTAGAGGTTCTGGGATGGAGTGTGGGCAGGGCCATGCCTGGCAGTTTGGTAAGGCAATGCCTTCCCCTGCCTATTGTATCTGCTGCCCATGCCCATTGACTTCAACAGGTGCTGGTGCTTAGCGCCTCAGAGGATCATGTCAATAATTTGCACACAACACCCATTTGTGCAACAGCAGGTCTGTTGCAAATCAAGCCATTCTAGAAAAAGTAGCATGATCAAAACTGTTATTAATAAGTACCAGCTTGTCTGGTACTTATAAGGGATGATAATGCAATATAAGCTTTCTTTTGTTACCTACTGTACAAGTGTGGTTAAAGCTTTTAACTTCTGATATAAACTCTACATCCATCAAGGGCCAGGTCTTCCTATGGAGCTATGTCATTTTACACCAGTTAAAAATATGGCCCGTGTATGCTAAATTATTTGAATACGTTAGCCTGACAGTGCAGAAAATCAATGACTTTACAGCAAAATAATTTTAACTGTGTACCAGTGACTCTTGCAAATTCTGCCAATGCATAATTTGCACACACTACAATGTTGAAATGAGGATGCCAATTAAGATACAGTTTGAACCTCTCTAGTCCAGCACCTTTGGGACCTGACTGGTACCAAACCAGAGAATTAAACCAATATTGACCAGTATTGACCTACCTCCCACCCAAACCCCACACTTCTACCCCCCAGCCAGCTCCGTGGCAGCCTCCTCCACCCTACTGAACCCCTCATTTTTGAACCTATGCCAGAGTCTGGGGGGAGTCCCACAAAATCCACTAGACCTGGGTCTCTATAAGAGTTAATCCAGCCCTGGGGATAAGCCCTGAATCTCAGCATTCCTCTGTCCCCCCATGGGGCTGAAGCTTGAGGGGAGTGTCTTTTCCCCCCTGCTTCTCAGTTGGGGACCACATCTGTGACTCTGTGAGGGTTTTTCCCCCCTTCCTTTTCACTTCTGGGCCAGCTCAGTGAGGGTAAGTGGGGTTTTTTGTTTTTTACTTTCACTTTTGTGTGGCCCCGACTGATTTTTCTGTGGGTCAGTGGCCCCCAACCCCAAAAAAGGTTCCTCTCCATGCTTTAGTGCTTCTATGCTTTGGAGCTAGGGCTTGAAATTTGGGAGAAGATTGTTCTGGTGCCAGAACATGCCTTCGAGTAGCCAAGTAGTTTAATATTCATAGTTTCTTGTGTGTTATATACAGATATAGAAAGAGATAAGATGGAAATGCAAAATCCATGTCCATTGTCCATATCCTTAACCATCCTGCAAGGACTGTCAAAGAGGATCCCAATGAATACCAACTGTTGTGGTGGCACTTTTGATGCCTGTTCACTGGACAGTAATTTCTTTGATTACCAAGCTTCTGAGAAGCTGCAAAATCTGTTCATTACTACTGATCTAACTACTATTATCCAGAGGTGAATAAACCCATGATATTCCGTTACCAGTCCTCAGAGCCAACCAGTCCCATACGTTTAATTCATAGTTTTCTGCAGAGACAGTTTGCACAAGTGGTGCTGAATTTAAATCAAGAGTGACACCCAGTGGTCATTGCAAGGTATAATCCAATTTATTTCTGGAAAAGAAAGATTGGAAAAGTTGTTAATATTCAGTAATACAAAGAGCTGATAGCTCATA